ATGTGTCGAGATGTGCTTTATGTCATTATAGTTATGTGTCTGTGTGCAAGTTGTCTCTCTCTCTCTCTGTCTGTGTGTGTGCGACAAATGGTGTGTATCATCGGTTCGGTCATCAACGAAATGTATGCCCCATAAGCTTTTTATGGAATCCGATGAAGACAAATTTTATAACTTCAATCAAGTTCCTAAACAAATGGCACACGTAATGCGAATATATTCGACGATATGTTTGCCAATAGGGAGCCATAGAGATTGCATGAGCTACAAAATCATTGCCTGACTACCAGATGACTACCAACAATTACCACATACAAAAAAAAAATGGGATAGAGTGTGCAAAAATTTCGGTGGTGCGATGTGACGATGACGATGAACAGCAGCATGGTTGGTGGCAACGGCAACGGCGGTGATTTCAAAGGGAATCGTAAAGAGCTAAAAAAGGCACCATCATGCACACACACATACATAAAGCGCACAACAGTAGTACAATGTGAGAGAAAATTGGTAACCATATAGCTGAGAGTGCGTGTAACGCAGCCATTTCAAATACAAGGATAAATCACAGCATTACTACACCGAAACCGAATTCGATTTTACCCCAAGAATATCGGCGGGGAAAATTGTGCTGATTACTAGCAATACAGAACACTTCTGCTCACATGTACGCATGCATTGTGAAAAGTAAACAAAAACGATCGAACGAAAACTTTTTCACACATTTCGCACATAACGATATCAATGTGCAATTTGGTAGTGTCGAAAGTAAGAAAACAGTCATCACCCGAAAATGAATCGATGTCTGTGTCTGTGTGATAGACACATTGAGACGAAATTGTTGGAAAATTGAACGTTTTATCAGTGTGTGTGTGTAGGGATGCGTGCGCGCGCGTTTATATCGGTGTTATGAAGAAAAATCATATGTGCATGAAAATTCCACATGTTATTGTCATTCCGATCACACAGGCACAGTTGATTTTCATCAAGCCAACATTGATTATCGTATGAAAAAACCAGGCAATTGCAGCAGCAGCAGCACCCAGTATAAACACACAATAATTCACAAGCATAGAACACATATGAACGATTATGCATGAAATTACCTCTCCTCCGTACGAAAAAATCGGCCAACGTAATATGCGAACAAAGTCTGTACAGTATGGTACAGAATTCTTTGAGATATATAGTCAATAACACACAAAAAAAGAATGCATACACATATAGTAACATGAACGCACCCAATTACACACACAATTTGCCGAACGATAGCCGAATGCAGCACGATAGCGACGAATATGCGATACGAGTGTGCCACTGGTGGGCCCGAACGAATGTATATGGATCGAGCGAGAAACGAAATAGGAACAACAACAAAAATCGAAGCAAACACAAATCTAGATGCATGTACTCGACTTCAGTTTGCTTTATACCGTCGTGGGCAATGGTAACGATATTCAATATGACCGGTTTATATTTCCATCAAAATTGTATTCATTCATTGCTGTAAGTGGTGTGTCTATCTATTCAAGTTTTGTTCAAATGGAGTCAGTTGTGTTTTTGTTTGTGCTGCTCTGCATGTTTTTTGTGCAATGAGATACATACAGTGCGCTTTTGGGGGAAATTTTTTTTTTTCGTCGTTTTTGATATTTTTTTCAAATTTGGTGATTTTTTCTCAAATGAAAAACTTACGAGACATTGAAAACATCTCATAACTAACATATCACCATCAATAACGGAAACCGAGACCAAGAACCAAAATAAGACGAACAAATAGAAGTAAAAAGATAAAAAAAACGCATAAATATTATCAAATGGAACGAACGAAGCAAGAAAACGGGCCAAAGCAAAATACTTTCGATTGAATTTCATTCTTCGGGGTTGTTGGTTTTTTTTTTTTGCATTATATTATCCATACTTGCCTGTGTCCAAGAAAATGTTCTTTTTTTCTTCCTCTTGCTTTCTCGTTGTCATTTGATGGTATGTTTGAGAAAAGGTTATTTTACTTTGATTGTATCTTCTTGTTCTTGTGTTCGTTGATATCAAAGGATCTAAACATAGAAAAAGAGAAGAAAAAACGGAATATTTTCAAAGTCTTTGCGGATTTAAGAGTTATCAAACGAACAAGGAAGCAAAGAGAAAGCGGAAAATAGCAAAGAAATTGAAATGGAGAAGAAAAAAAACGGCAAAGTTTTGTGCGTGTATGCTTGTTGTTGTCTGTTGATGCAGATGACGAAGAAGGTGCGAAAATAGTGAGAGTGAAGAATCTGATAAAAAAAATAGAAATATATCACTACTTATGAAAATGTTGACGAAAGCAAAATATTGACAGTGATTAAGTTTGGATTACGAATATCTAACGATGAATTGTGCAAAAGTGCTAGAAAAAAAAAAATGTCCGTGTTTTTATTTTGCAGCCCAAATGCAATTTTATCAATTCAATTTTTGAATAGTGAACGAAAATGTCGTGCCCATTTTTTTGTGAATTGTGCCCCATGAGAAAAAAAACCAGAAATGAAAAAAAACCAAAGAGAAAAACCAAAATGATATTCAAACACCATGCAATCGAACACCGAAATCAATGAATATAAACCAAATCAATGGAAAATGATTGTTTTGTTTGATGTTTATTGTTTGGTGTTGTACTTCACCAATTAACATCTAATTGATTACTATTTTAGATTGGATTGCTTTTATTATGTGGGTGGTAAAACGCAAACATTTTCCATCGATGATTTGTTTTTATCTCTTCAGTCTTCACATTCACTGGATTGGAATTGTTTTATTTTTCTCGTTTTCGATTTGTGATTTGTTCCAATCACATTGACGTTGAAAAGTGGATAGAAGATATCTTGTCACCTGGATGGTGTGCTTTTTGTTGTTATTATCATCGCCTGTGTTTGTTGTTACGACGAATTTATGTAGGACGTAACCGAAATTATCCCGCATTCCACTTGTATTGAATTACAAAAAGTGATTTTGTCAATTGCGACAGTAAACAATGGGTTTCGATTCCCTCCGATTTCATTGTGTGTGGGGGGGGCGCTCTTTTCTCTCAAGCGATTTGTGATTGTAATTGCACGAGACATTGTTTATTCAATGGCAACGCGCACAAGATAAACAATTCAGACATTTATTATGATCATTTCATTTAAAATGATAATAACAAGGACAATAATAACACATAAACACACAGCGATTATGAAAATTTGTGTGAATGAAAAGTGAAAATCGGTCGCCATTTCCAATTCAGTGGCGTTTAGTAATCAATATTTTAAGGTGCGCATTCCATCTTTTAATCGATCAATCAAAAACGGTCATACCGATTTATTCATGCGGTGACCAAGTGTGATGAAGTCGACACACACTCAACACAAAAAAAAATGTTTTTGCAATTAATTACATTCTCACAGTGAATTTTTAAATACATGCGGTTTTTTCTCTGTTACTTTTCGTTCGTTGAGTTTTTTCTTCTTCTTCTTTTGTGGTTGGCTCATTCAATCGCGAACATTCAACTTGAAAATGGTGTTATTGTGCATTCAAAATTGGTTTGAGAATTGCGATTAAAACACGAAGGGGCACGAATAATATTGAAATGTCGACTGTCGACATGCATATAGTGTGTGTGTGTTGGTGTTGTTGCTGTTGATTTTTTGACATTGATTTGAAAGAAAAGCGGAAGAGAAAAATGCAAGTTGAAAAAAAAAAATTGAGAAATAATTCAACACAGTCGATTGGTTCGTTGTACTTGTTGGGGCGAATGTCGACAGTAAGAAAAAAAAAAAACGTTGATTTCATTTTCCGCCACACACACACAATCGTCAATATTTGCCCACGATGGAATGGGCCACACCATATTCACCAGTGTCACACATTGTTTACCACCAAGTTACACAAGAAATGTCTAAAGTTACACTGGCTCATATTAATTTCAGTGGCTTATCAGTTGGGAAATATCGTTTTTGATATTAATTACAGCATGAATTCCAAGCATGTGACCACGACCGAAGAATTGGACTCTCATACAATTTTCATAATGCCATACGTTCTTTTTTCTTCATTTCTCCCATTTTTTTTTTCTTTTTTTGAATGGAATCTAGTTTGATAAATTCTGAAAGTGTTGAAAAGTCAACTTTGCATATTAATACATACAAGCATACACGCAACTATTTAACTCAAACGTTTTTGATGGTGATGTGTTCGTAAATGGAAAAAAAATCGATGAACAAAAAAAATGGATCGAAAATTGAGAAAAAACAAACAGCTCATTTGATTGAAATATTTGTTTTTATCAATATTTCGAATTTCCATTCTAATTTTGTTTTTGTTTTCCTTCTTTTTTTAGTGAAGTGAAGCAGCTATATATTTCAAGCACAATTCATATATGAATAAAAAAAAAGTTTTTTTCTCGAAGTGAACTTGTAAAAAAAAAATGTTAGTTGTGTGTTCCACAACAAGAAATAAAAATGTGAGATGAAATTTCAAACCGAAAATTCTCTGTTAATAAATTCAATGAAATCATACGGTATTATATATTTTGTGTTTTGCATGTGAATTTTTAAACAATGCCATGTAGATAGGTCGAACAAACAAAGCAATATAGTTTGAAAGTGTTGTGAAAAGTTGTGAAAACAGTTTAGAGAAAACAAAGTTCCAAAAATTAAATATACATACATCTACACACATATCCACACGAAAAAAAAGCAAAAAAGCAAAGAAAAATCCGAATGCCAAAGTGCCGAGCAATAGAAAGAGAGTGCAAATGATAAATTGCGGCAAAAGAGCTGAGAGAGAACATATATAAAACGGATAGCTAAACACTTCTTCTAGCTCTTTAACTAATTCCATCGAACGGATAATTCATTAAGAAAACCTCAAACTGACATCAGTCGAAAACATACAATATAGTTTAACACAAAAACCATTTTGCAACGCGCGCGCACACACCCGAACGTACTTGTATAGAATATTTTGTGAACGAATAAAAAAAAATAACATCAAGTTGAAGAAGAAAAGTATAGCAGAAACAAAATACAAAAGGATTAATTTGTTGTCGACTGGCAGACTGCCATTTTTTGCCCTATCTTCTAGTTGCAACTCAAGTAAGTATATATACATGTATAAATGTATTTAATCCATGGAAATCATTTGATGGCTTTAATCGGTGCGATTAGAAAACTGTGTCAATCAAATTAACTCAATTCGACCAAAAGGATGTGCTGACTTAATTTTTATCGTTTTGGATTTTCATTTCACAAAATCCGGCTCAAATGCGATTTTTTTTTCATCATTTTTCATCTTATTCTGTTTTGTTGTGCTTGCAAATTCAAGTGAATTTTTCATTCTCGGGGATATTTTTTTTACGAAAAACGCGAGAGAAAAAAAAATTATACACAAAATAAATAACGAAGAAAATCCTGTGAAATTCATCAGCCTTTGATTTAGTTTTTTGTATTTAATATCGCTTAATCACAAAAAATGAGAGAGAAATACTTCGGGCCACCGCATGGTTCGGAGGGTAGGTTTATTTTTTATAATATTTCAAAATAAAAATGGAATATTGACGCAAAAAAAACGAAATGGGAAAAGGCGAACGAAACCAAAGGGAAACGCTAAATAGAATGAAACAAAAAAAAAGAACGCCTTTAGATGTTATTAAAGTCAAGCTTTTAATTATGTAAATTGGAAATTTATGGGAAAAATGCCTCTTTTACGCTCCGAAAGAGATTTACGCCAGTCAAATGCGATTTGTTGAGAGAAAAAGGAGGTGTTTTTTTTACTTTGAGATGCGATTTCTGTTTCCATATATATATATAGATATATTTTTATTCCATTCATTGTTGTGGTTTTTGTTTTATTATTAATATTGTGAGTGTGTATATACGTTTATATCGGCACAACAATTTTTGTTCGTCTTGTGATGTCAGGCAGAGAGAAAGTTGAATACGACGTAACATAACTAATTTCAGGAAATTCTTTGCTCTACAAATTCATAACGAAAGGACTACAAAACAAGCAGATAGAGAAACGGATACGATAGAGACATAGCAAATGTAAGAAAGCAACGAACAATATCGATAAAATGCATTGAAATATGAAAGCAAACCACAGCATCTATTCAGGTTTAGTTTTGTTCTATCGCGCACTGACTTCGGTTGGTTGGCTTTTGTCGTTTCGATATGCTACTGAGCAGAATGCGATTGCGTGTGATATGATACACCTATTTCGTTCGTCTGACCGCGTTATTGAACGATTTTTCTCGACGATATCTTTTCATTTCTTTTTAAAAGCTGGCAATGAAATGATTTCCTTTTTATACAACATTCTCTCCTTTATTTCGGTTTTTACTGCATCCCCCTCTATACTTTAAAGCATTTTTTTTTAATATATCACTTTTTGCATCGCTCGCTTCATATTATTAAACATAAATTGTTGATGCTTATACACAATGAAAATTGAATAGATATAATACGGACACCGTTGGCACTGCCATCGTCATACACACACACACAAATCTATTTTGCACTGTAAGTAAGCAGGAAAAATTAATCCCGTTAGGAATTTCAATTTTCTCTCTCGTTGAATGGATGTAAATTCGACTCTCATTCCAACTCCGATGAAAATTGACGGAATAGACGGTATAATATTGAATTTTAGAGCAAAAAACACCGAGATGTACAGAGATAGATAGAACAAGTGAGTGTTAGACAATACTTTTACATCAGCGCATCGAACAATATGATTTGAAATATTTTCTAGTCTTTCTACACATCTTAGACGTGAGTGTGTATGTCTGTGCAAAAAGAATTGTACTTTTTTTCCGTCTTCACTTCGATATATGCTTCTTGTTGAATAAACTTTTACTTGCATCTGTTATTGTGTGCAAATGAGAATGCACACTGTTCGCTCACAATCATATCAGCATCGTTTCAGAATAGTCAGTTTGTGTGTCTGTGTCGAATTGAATTTACAGGCAAGTCCAAAAAACACAAGCGCATATCGCCTTTAAAACTAACAAACGAGAACGACACTATGCTAGATATTTACTGCACTTCCATTATAAGTATAAATATAATAAACACATTGAAGAAACTTCGTCTGAATGCATCGACATAGTGCACATAGCATGTGATTATACGATCGACATTTTCGTGATTTTTTTTTTTTTATTTCATTCATTCGTTCGTCTTTCGTAGAATATATTTCTGCTTGAAAAGTTAAAATAATGTGAGAAAATTGAATGGAAGAATAACTCCGGGCAAAATTGAGAACAATTTTTTATTCTCTCTTCGTCATTGAGGGTGTATTTAGAAAAAAAAGCGAACGTTCATCAGCAATGCCTTGAAATTGGAGATTTCAACTATTAAGAAACGAAATTGTATTGTAAAACTTCATTTTTGGACCATGTAATTGAACACTCGCTTGGAAGATTATTTGGATTATGTCTGACCAATGGCAATATCATCCAAAAAAAAAAAACTACTAGAAAACCCATCAAATTAATAAAAAAAACGTAGTAAATAAACGTAAGCAATGACCGAAATTTGAAATTAAGACAAAATATCAATGAATATCAAGTTATGCTGACTCTGTAATCGTAATTGTTGTTGTAATTCATTCGCACCGCCGACAGACGACCAAATACTTCATAAACATTCCGAGCGTGCAGATGCGAAAAGTATGACGAACAAGAATGAAGCGCATGCCAACCACTCACTATTGCTCTCTTTTGTATTTATTACTCTATAGAAATTGTATGTGTATGTATACAAACTCTCTTTCTCTCATCCAAAACACTGTGTTTACATCGTGTGAAGTATTACAATCGAGTACGAGAGCGTGATAAACATAACAACACACCAAACAAATATAAATTGATTGAAAACATTTTAAATATTTATCATCTAAATTGAACGGACAAATTGTTTGAGCTTTTATTATGGTATCATCGTTCGCGCTTTCTATCTCTCTCTCTCTCCCTCACTTTCGTCTCTTCAGTTCAATTGTTGTTGTTATTTTTTTTTGCGGGCGCGCTGCTCATCGGGCTACCATCATCGACGATTTACACCAGATACAATTTAATTATTTACGAAAGTGAAACATATGTTTAAATAGCTTGTGCCAACGAAACACTTTTTTCCATCTTTGTACAAAACCGAGCAAATTTGAATAGGAACGAGACAAACAGATCAAAAAAACGCATATAGCCACTATTCATGGTTAAAAAAAAAACGAAAATATGAATAAAATAGCAAGAATTATTATACTAGTGTCATTGTCGGCGACGGCGATGGCGGCTGTGTGTTGGTGGACATTAGCTTGGCTGAAGTATTGTTCAATTAAGGTCAATTGATGTGCGCGCACCATTGAACCGGTATAAAAAATCATCGTTCAACCCATGTAACGGCCAATTTCATGCACATATTCGTATGAATCATTCCGCACGATTCAGCTAAAAGTGCGAAATTCTATTAGTGCTTCTCTTTGTGATTTGCCATTACTGTTGCCGCCTTTGTTCTAAACTATAAAAAAAATACACAATCCGTACAAAGAAATTTTATAGCCCGTCTTTTTTGATGTCATACACACAATCGCTTTTATTGTTTACACATCAAAATTCTTTATTATACCAATAGGGATTTTGTTTGCACATTTGGAAACCGCAACATAATCTTACTGTACATGAGCAGAGAAAGAGCGTCAATTTAAATAAACACGATGAGATTTATGAACGAAATTAAAAAAGAAATGTAAAAGAAGTGCTTGCGTTCAGAATTATTTTCGAATAATTGGTACAAATTACCAGTGTGAAAAATGCATTTGAAAAAAATAACGGCATAAAACAACAAATTGATTGAAATTCCCAGTTTAATTAATGGAATATTGTGTTACCCTTGAATTTTTTGATTAAATAAATATGCTGAATATTTTATTAATATTATTTCCAATTAAATTCGAATAAATATCATAATTTTAATTATTATACCGAAAAACGGATGCGATTCGCATGAAATGTGGTAAATGCTGGTGACCAATTTTTTTAAAAATAAATTTAATTAGAATTCTGACGCAACAGTTTCGCGTCTGACGCAACTATTTGGAATTTTAATAAAAAAGTTCGTTTTTGACATGATCTTAAAAAGCCGAATAAGAAGAGAATCTTTATTATTATTTCCAGAGAATGTGCGAACTACTTTAATTGAACGAAGTGCATTACATGCAAAATATTTCAATTAGTGGCGTAAACAAATGTCGGGAAATAGAACACTGGGATAGGGAGAAAGAAAAAGGGAAAGAGAAAAAGAATGGGGCATGGTATGAAGTACGCTCATGGGCCGCTACTATCATATTTTTAAATTATACTCTTGTATTCATATGCAACGCGCGCGCGTTTGTGTGTGTGATGGATTTAAATTCGTAATGGAGTAAATTTAAAAAAACGACCGGGACTGAAGCCAAGAGAGTCTATTATTTTCATAAATCGATAAATGCGAAACGTTGCATCACAAATTATGTCTGCATATACACGTACACATATTCCACGTATATATATAAATGTACACCAGCGAGAACGAGAGAGAGACACTTACTGTGGATAATTATGTTTCGTTTGTATTTTGTCTTCATCTGCTTTGGTGTGCTGTGTGTTTGTGTGTGGTCTGGGTACCTATTTTGGTTTGGATTTTTCCATATCGTCATATTTTCAACGGTAGTTTTGCATAAAATTCCCGTAGCAAAATGAGGCAACCAGTCGATCGCCCAACGGAGAAATTACAAATCGCTAAAATGCGAGAAGACATGACATTAATCGAGAGGGTGGATGTATATAAACTCTCTCTCTCTCTCTCTCACACACATACAAGCCGCCCCAGCTCTATGTTCGAACACATATCGGGCTCGAACGTGAATGCAAAACCAAATGCCAAGTATTTATTTCATGAATTTATTTCGATTCAAATGCCGAATATTTTCAATCTCTTCATTTAGATTTGTGCTGTTTGAATGTTGAGCTCCAAAATGCGCATCGCATTTTCCAAAGAGGTCGCGACTATAAATTTTATACGGTTCAATAAAACAATAATTTATAGACATTTTTCTATTT